TTCTCCATTCCCAGCTGCAGACCTCCAATAAGTAAATGTAGGTCGGCAGTGGAAGATTTAGAAGTTTTTAGTCATATATAAAGCACTTCCTGATTATCTGATAAAACATTAGAATCCTTTCTGACATAATTAATTTTGTCAGATAAAAATCTGCAACAATACAGTGACAAGGATAACAAGTTAAAAAAAATGTTCAAATGGTCACTTCTACTAGTATACGCCAAGCTTCCCTCCTACCCCCCCCCCCCCCCGATTACCTGCCCCAATCACTAGCTACATGATATTTATGAATCCCACACATATATAAATTGAAAACGAATGAAACATACTTAAGAAAGCTGATGATTTTCAATAAAAAGGTTAAAAAAAACCCCTTTCTTGAACAGTCAAATAAAGTCAATCTCCACTCTGAAGGAGATGCGCGTTTTAATTGGAGGTACATGTATGTAATTAAATGTAAACTAATCGTCTGAACCAGCCCAACTTATGTCGTTTTTTATTTTTTACCCTGTAAATATTGATTCAATATTTATCATAGTTGCAAAGACGGAAGAATTTGTTTCAAGTCCATATTTTCAACATGATTGCTCTTTGTGACGTCATTTTTTTCCAATGCATGGCGTCATTAATTACATGTTATGTCCCATAATAAATTTCACTGAGAAAGGTTTATATGGTTTTCATTTGCATAAATAGTATTAAATTATTTTTCAAAAGCAGAATTGAATTCAAAAGACAATAAAAAGAATAATAAAACCTTTAGATACAGAATTAAACAATTTATTTCTTTAAAAGTATAGATTTATTGTGGAGAAAAGTGACGTCTATCCAAAAATGCAGCATTTTCAACTTCATTTTTTTGTAAAAACGGGTGTGGCCGCACTTTTGTAAAGTCATTTTTTCTTTTTAATATTAGAAATCGGGTTATATTTATTCTTTCTGTGAAATTTCGCATACATACTCGGATGCGACCATATCGAAATATAGACTTGAAGAGGATGAAAACATCCAAAATAAGGGAATTCCGGAAAATAAGACCGGTTTTAAACATTATATAATGAAACGGCGCTTGAGTTGAGAAAAAATGTTAATCATTTCACACACAGGGAAACCTCAACAGTAACTTGATACATTTGATAAAATGTAAACCTGCGTTTAATTTTTGCCGATTTTACAGGGCCGATTATTGCGCTTACCGTACCCAGTTCTTTGTCACAGAGTATCCTTGGCCAAAGGGCTCTCTTTTATTCTAAAACAAGGGATGTGACCCTTAAACAAGGGGTGATAACTAGGAAAATAAAACCAAAAGTACTGGTTGCTAAAAAATCTTCTCAAGAACCATTGGGCAGATTATCGCCAAATTTACATACAAGGATGAGGATATGTTGTAGATTAAAAGTTGTTCAAGGCATCACCCTGGGGCAAAGGGCGCAGTCTTGGGGTCACTTCAAAGTTGAAAAATTATGTTTTGTTTGATAAACTTTTATACTTTGCTTACTATAAGAACTAGGATAATGAAATCTTGTCAATTGATGCACCTTAGGACCTCATATCATGTTGACTCAAAAGTAGGTCAGTGACCTACTTTTTAAATTTTGCAGGCATTCGTTTTCAAATTGATCATCAAAAAAGTTTGATCATCAAACTTTGTCAGTTGATGCATCTCTCAAAAGTAGGTCACCTTGGCCTACTTTTTAAAATTTTCCAAAACATTTTAGGTCATTATTTAAGATACTGTGAGGATTAGAATCGTCAAACCTTGTAAGTTGATGCATCTTGGAACCTTAAAACACATTCATTAAAAAAATAGGTTACAGTGACCCACTTTTTGAATTCTGTAGACATTTGTTTCCAAATAGTTTCAGAGGCATATTTTGGACACTTTAGGGCCTATGATAATCAAGCTTTGTCAGTTGATGCATCATGCGTCCCATGAGAATGTCAACTGAAAAGTAGGTCACTGTGACAAACTTTTGAAATTTTATGGCTATATTTAAATATTTCAGGTACTAATTGGCTAAGAATCATCAAACTTTGTCAGTTGATGTATCTTTGGTCCTCAGACTAAGTGTGTCAAATTTAAAGTGTTCTCTGTGACCTACTTTTAGAATTTTATGGATATATTCAAATATTTAAACACTAATTGGCCTAGAATCATCAGCTTTTGTCAGTTAATGCATTTTGGGTCCTTGAAGTATTTTAATTAAAAAGTAGATCACCATGACCTACCTTTTAAAATTTATTTCTGAATATTTAAGATAATAAAGGGCTTAGAATCATTGAACTTTGTCAATTTAGGAATCTTGGGTTCTCAGAGTATGGTAGCCAAAATGTAGGTCAAATTGACCTACTTTATGAATTTCAAGGCTTCATCTAAATTATATAGGATACTAAGAGGCTTCAAATAGAAGTGATAGGTAGTACAATTTATTAGAAGATCCATTCAAGGTCCTTGGGGCTCTTGTTACATGCAGTTATTTTGACAACTCTACATGCTTAACATTTGTCTCTTTTCTCAGAAAATACAACACAATATATATATATATATATATATATATATATATATATATATATATATATATATATATATATATATATATGCTTTAACTTTTTTGCATTTCTTTAAAAGTTCAGTTTCACTTTTTTATAACATATGCAAAGGTAAATAACAGCAAATCCCCCCCCCCCCACCAAAAAAGTAAAATATTGTAGTAAAAGATGTAAAATGCACATTATCTATAACACAGACAAACAGTACTCTAATTTATTGCTTTCTTGTATCAAGGACCTTTCAAGGTATTAATAACAATACTAAAATGCGAGAATAAGTTTTTTTTTTTTTCATGCTACATAGTATTTGCCCGAGAAACAAAAAAATACTCTATACACATACACAATAAAAAAAGAAACATGAACCACATAGCTCACCAGAGTTACTTTGGTCATGTTTTCCTCAGAATACTTTAAATAAAAAAAAAATATTTCTTCATTCTTATGAAAACAATTTGCCCTGTATAGTTTTTACATTTGGCCAAATGGATTGTGATTAGTATTGGCCTAGTGTTCTTCAAAACAAGATTGTTAAAGATTTTTTTTTTCTTTTTTCCCCAGCAAAACTTGGATCCCCCATTATGATTCCACCCTAAGGGCCACGATTCAAATGAAGTTAATTTTGCACTACCCTGAGGATGCTCAACTAATCAATTCCTATGTCAAACTGACCTCTTATTTTAGCCCCAACATACCCCCTTTGATTTAATGATCAATTTAAAATCTATGCTACATCAAAAAAACTTTAAATTCCTTTATATTTCCATGATAAAGTTAGATCCCTATCTTGGACCTATGCTACCCAGGGTTCTCCACATTTGAAAATTTAACCATGAAGGAAGCTGTGCGAAAGCAAAATGTGATTGAAAGCACGAACATGTGTTAGACTCTCTTAACTTCATTAATCAATGATCAATTGTAGCCTACCCATGGACGCCACAATTTGAAAAATTCAGAATTCACACTATCCTTTGTCATAAACCTTTCATCTTTTTGGCCAAGATGTTCTTGAGAAGATTTTTAAATAATCCCTTCATCCACCCTATTTTTGCCCTTCTTGATAATCTACTCTTGGAAGGGGGAAGCCAGTGGTTCTCAAGAAGAAGTCTAAAATGATAACAGTATATAGACAAACAGATGCTGCACAATGGATGATCAGAAAAGCTCTCTTAAGCTTACAGCTTAATCTGAGAAGATTAAATTCTATCATTTCTATGTAAAACTAATTCAGTGAAGATCTCTTTCTTTACACATCAACTTCTGTTAGGCCAAACCAAAAATACTCTCAATACATGAGCGGTGATTCCGCAACTGGTAGAGGTGTCATTTATTGCCAAGCTCTGAAAAAAAAAAATAATTCATTTCAGTGCATATTTCAAAAAGTTTAGAGCAAAAATTGACTAAAAATATTTAAAAAGCATTTTCTCTTAAAATATTTTGGTCCCCATTAGGGCTGTGTCAATATATCGATTAATCAATACGTATCAATATTCAGGAATGTATCGTATCAAAAAACTAACTTCCAATTTGTATTGGACAGAGAGTTTTTCTTAAAATTCTGTGAAAAAGTTGGGAATTTCAGTCCCCAAAGATTATATTTTACTGTTTTGAATTAAAGCTGATCAATAATGAAATAAACATGAAGGAGATAGCACATCTTAATAACTACTGCAAAATACATAGACAACTATTTTTCAACATGTTAGTTTTACAGTCATTAAAAATTTGAATTTGAAATGTACTTTGTAAAGAGAGTGAGACATGAACTTCCAATTTGGTAATAAAACACCCAGTTTTTATCAAATTCATGCATTAAATGATTTACAAAACCTTTTTTAATAGATTTGTTAAAGAATCCAATATATCGCATATTGCATTATGAAATATCGTATGGTATCGTATCGAAATATTTTGGTCAATACACAGCCTAGTCCCCATCTGATTTTAAACTCCAGTTTGAACAAAATGTACCGGTACAAACCTTTTAACTTGAAATTGGTAAACTATACCTGTTTAGCTATTTTATGGGTGTCCTCTTCTGGAATCAGTTGTTGGTACAAACTAGGTTTTAACCAATATTTGGAGTTGACCTTGACCTAAATGGTGCTTTTCGATCTTGGAATAAGAAGAAACAATACATGATTAGCAATACAAATAGAAAATTGTATGATTACCATCTTGTTACTTTATATATGTAAATTAAAAAAATATGAAATTCAATGCAAGTTGCTAACTTCATTACAAACATTATTTGTTATATCTGCTAAGTTCAGAATGTGGTTTAAAGACAAGGGCAATGAAAATCAATTCACTATAAGCATCAATTCATTGTAAGCATGTTCACATTAACCGTGTTTTACTGTACTGACCTTTGGACTTGAAACTGGTGCATTAATTCATCATCTTTTATCTCGCAAATCCAATACACAGAGTGGTTTCTTTCAAACTGACATCAGTCTTGGCCTTTGATCTTTGACCTTGACATTGGAAAACATAATATAATTCCATTATGTATGATTGCTGGTTTCCTTTTTGTCAAAACAAATAGAAAGTAGATATAGACAATTATAAATTTGAAATGCTTGTAAATGAAGTGTACCATCTTCAGCTGCACATTCCTAATTACTGCAAAATGGTTTTCCATACCCATAGTCCCCAGTCAGCATGCGTCAATCTAAAATACTATTAATAGTTAATAAATTTGTAATATACATGCATTAGTCATATATATGTGTATCTGCAAATAATATAAAAGGATACATGTACATGTATATTTAAATTTTCAAGAAATGATATTTTTTCCAATACAAGAAGTCGCACAAACATTGTTTGCTAATTATTTTTCTTAATTAATATGAATACATGTATAAAAAGCATCTTTTCATAAAAAGACATGACTAAAATTCAAATTTAATGTATTTGCCCCAAATTAAAAGAAGTAAAGGAACACCTACCTACATATCTATCAACAGTCTTGGTATGGGTCTGCAGTTTAATATGTTGATAGTTCAGTACACACAAATCACTGTTACTTGGTACTAAAAAGAAAAAAATGTAAATAAATGATACGTTTAAATTTAAATTGCATAAATATAATGCAGTAGGTGTTGTAATTTATCTGTATATAGCAGGATGAAGCCCCACCTGTCTCACGAGTGAAATAAATTCCATATTCATCTACAAAACATTGAATTTTCTGTTTATTACATTTTCTTTGATTTTCCCTTTGCCTCTGTCGTTTCTTAACACAGTGTCATAGCTAGGCTTGACGTCATAGTTGAGCGGTTGAGACGTCATAGCTTAGCAGTTGTGAGATTGAAAACATTACATAGCATGTATTTTAGCAACAGATTTCGGAAGAAAATTGCAGGTTTAGTTCTATCAAGATGTTTAGTTACTATCTCTATCTTATGACAGGCCAGAAATTATTTTTTACTTACTTTAATATCCTTTCACACTGTGGGAGAATATCATTTTGGTATTCTTTCACACTGTGAGAGAATATCATTTTTATTCAATAAATAAATCACAGTATTTCACTGTTGAAAATGTAATAAATATATAATCTTTGAAAATCTTCTCAAGAACTGTAAAGCCATGATCAGACATGTTTATTTGGAAGCATTCTCAGATAGTGTAGATTCAAGTTTATTCAAATCATAACTTCTGGAAGTAGGCCTGGACTGCAGTTAATGATCAATTTAGATTTTACATGGGATTATATCTAAAAAAGAATCTGCTGATGAACATGAAGGGCCACAAATATGCAGGTGGGCCTATGGGCCTCTTTTTTTTTTAAACTTTGACCTTTGTTATATAATAAGTATATGTATTTAACTGCAATCAAACTTTTACATCTGATAGCAATATTTTTAGGAAAAAAGACAGGATATTTGGTAAGAGAATGTGAAGGCTTCAAGAGTATAAAATAAAACCAGCTGTAAAGTACCAAACTGGAGATAACAATGGCATTTATTTCTATAGATAATTTAATTGTTCTTTTACATGCATTATGCATGGAGCCAGAATTTTTTTTCCAGGGGAGGCACACCTACAAAAAAAGCCTCTCAAAAAATATATATATATATATATATGACTACCTAACTATACAAAGTTGAAAATAATTTTGAACACTCCAGGGGAGGAGGGGGTTGTTCTAGACTCCCCCTGGATCCATGCATGATATATGACTTGTATTTTTCATTAAATACTTGTACATATTGTATGAAAGGGTATCAATAGTTACTACATTTATATAGGAAGGTGACATACAAGCTGATACAAATATATAAATCCTTCATTTGAAATCAAAATGCTGGTTAGAATAAAGATGATAGATGAATTTTTTTTTCAGGATTGATGTGGAAGCCCGGATGCTTAGCTGTGCCACTGATTTCATTTCCTGTGGATATTCTGTGCTTGGTGCAATGCGATAAGGACATATAATCCATAGAATTCACATGAATAATATAAAAAGAGATTGCTTGGGCAAAACTCATTTTATATATTTTAGAATACCTTTGTCAGAGATAAGTTTGTTTGGATGACATTCTGATGCAATAACATATTTTTATGCATAAAATCTTGTTAACATGTATTTACCTAAATGGTCAAAGGATCAAGACACTTGATATGCGTTTTAGTGAAGCACACTTCCTTTGGTATTGTTAAGTTATAATTGAATTTTTTTCACTTTGTATAATAGGTTGATCTATAGGTTGTAGATTTTATTTTCAGTCAAGATTGATCTTTATGTTTTACATCCAAACAATAAACTCTTTTGTTTTGGACAAAAAATTTATATAAACATGCAGACTTTATTCTGAAGACACACTCAGAGAAACAGTTATAGATTATTAAGGATAAATAACACAAACAAACTTTTTTTTTCTCCAAAATTCAGATATCTTTGTTTAATTAGGTGCCTTTCTCACTTTGGAATTGATATTTGTATAGTTAAACAACTTAATATTTGACCAAGGCACACTATTTGGCAAAAAGTGCAAATATGCAACATTACAGTTCAATATGGTTTTAAAGTTGATAAAATGTATTCAGTTTTCTTGCTTCAAAGTTTCTGGGGACATTCTCAAGAGTCTATTTTTACATTATATACAATTAAAATTTATTAATTACATTTCCATTGAAAGAAATATTGAAAAAATTCCAGTGAACTCTTCTGTGTGGAAGATAAGAAACTTTGTTTATCTTGCTCAAATGGTGTAGATTATAAAAATGAAAATAATGTGGGGCTGTGTATGACTGTCCATTGTTTTTAATTATACATGTTTAAGGCCATCTAATATATATGATTCATATTTGGTCAGTATTTGAAAATTTATTGGGGGAATGAATGAGCATAAACATTTTACTAAAATACCAACAATTTTTCACATAATTTTAATATTGATTATACTTGTACATGCTCAGTCTGATATATGTTTCATCTATCTTTTCACAAAATTTATATGAACACTCCAAATAAATTAATGTTTTCACTCTATTCTTTTTCCATGCAGACTTTTGTTAGGTCACCTGAGTCACTCAGGTGAGCTATTGAAATCTGTTTTCGTCTGTTGTTGTTCATGGGTCGTAAACTTTTGAACATTTTCAACTTCTTCTTTGGAACCACTGAACTGATTTCATCAAATTTTTGTATAGAGCATCTTTGGACAAAGGGGGACAAAAATTGTGAATTTCATGATCCCTGTCCATGTTGGACCTGAGGGGGCCAGACCATTAAAATTAGTGCAATGTTCAAAAATCTTCTCTACTCCTAAACACGAAGCATTCAAACTATTGTCATGATTATAATATACTATGATCCCTTTACCTTTGGCTCTTCCAAAATTGTGAATTTCATGGCCCCTGGCTCAGGGGTTTTAGTGTCAGGGTGGGGTTCTATTGATTATTTAGTAAAAATGCATAAATTCTGAAAATCTTCTTCTCTGCTCCTGGGTATTATTTAAACAAACTAAGTGCATGGTTATAAGCAAAGATGCCTCTTCCAAAATTTTGAAATTCATGGCCCCAGGGTCGGGGGTTCTGGTGAAAGGGGTAGGGGCTCTATTGATTATATAGTGAAAGAGCATAATTTCTTTGAAAATGTTTTATTCTGCTCCTGGTTTTAAAGCAAAGAAACCAAGTGTATAGTTATGATGAGCAAGAGTGCTTCTTCCAGAATTGTGAGTTTCATGACCCCTGGGATAGATGTTCTGGTGGAAGGGTGGGGTTCTATGATATATTGAAAATGCATTAATTCTATTAAATAATCCCTGAGCTGCTTCTAAGTGTTGAGCACAAAGGCTCAAAGAGCTAATGCTATGGCCATTTGTGCGGTGTGTGTAAACTTTTTAGAATATGGGCTATATCTCTAGAACCCCTTGGCCGATTTTTGTTGAATTTGTCGCAGAGTATCCTTGGCCCAAGGGCTCTCATTTATACTAAAACAAAATATCTGACCCCTAAGCAAGGGGAGATAACTAGGAAAATAAAACCAAAAGTACTGGTTGCTAAAAAATCTTCTCAAGAACCATTGGGCAGATTATCTCCAAATTTACATACAAGGATGAGGATATGTTGTAGTTTAAAAATTGTGCAAGGCATAACCCTGGGGCAAAGGGCGCGGTCTCGAGGTCACATCAAAGTTGACCAAAAATTATATTTCATTAAAACTTTGTTATTTTGTTTACTATAAGAACTAGGATAATCAAATCTTGTCAGTTGATGCACCTTAGGACCTCGTTTCATGTTGTCTCAAAAGTAGGTCACTGTGACCTACTTTTTGAATTTTGAAGGCATTCGTTTTCAAATTGATCATCAAACTTTGTCAGCTGACGCATCTTGGGGTCAAGTGGAACGTCAACTGAAAAGTAGGTCACCTTGACCTACTTTTTTGTATTTTCCAAAACATTTAAGGTCATTTTTCAGATACTGTGAAGAATAGAATTGTCAAACCTTGTAAGTTGATGCATCTTGGAACATTTAAAAACACATTTATCAAAATGTAGGTCACAATGACCTACTTTTTGAGTTTTGCGGGCATTTGTTTTCAAATAGTTTCAGAGGCATATTTTGGACACTTTAGGGTCTATGATCATCAAACTTTGTCACTTGATGGATCTTGGATCCTGCAAGTATGTCATCTGAAAAGTACAGTACAGGCAACGCGGATCCCGTAATTCCCGCGCCCCGTCGCGGTATAAACACAACGCGGGATTTGGCCAGGTACGACAGGTAAACCGCGTTCCCTCCGCGGTAAATTCATCACCTACCTGTCCCCGCCGCGGTTAAATCATCGATCAATTAGTATCGTAAACAAACGGGAGTTATCTCCCCGAACAGGAATTTTAAAAAAAGAAAAAAAAAACAAGATCCGCAGTGTATGTACTATGAAAGTATTTTCTTTTATTTTGTAACAGTGAGATGAAAATAATGAACATACTCCTAAAAAGAATTTGTAAAGCAGCAGAAGATATTTTAAACGTTTATATATATATATATATATATATATATATATATATATATATATATATATATATATATATATATATATATATATATATATATATATATATATATATATATATATATACTTATTTTTTTTTGATATTATATGTCAATACTAAAGCGAATCTTTTGTTTTAAATACTATCAAGAAAACTATTTATAAGCTGTGTCATTTGAGAGTTTAACATGACAAATTTTAATGTCGGAAATATAAGTTCTAAATTTTTAAAACCTCTCTTCAAATTATATGCGAACTGCAATTATACTGTTACATACACGTGCTAAACAATAGTCAGTGCGAGTTCCGATTAGCAGTTTTCAGCATTCCTATGAGGAAAAAAAAAATACATCTATATACTGTTTATGTTTTTTGTATTTTTACCAAATTTATAACTGTTACAGAATGATTCATTTAATTAATTTCACTTTATTGTATAAATGTGCAAGCAATTCTCTGAAATTGTCGAATGACCGAAAAGCTGTAATATTCGGTGGTGAGGGCACGTGAACTTTATACAAGATATTGATAAAATATAACATAATTTTTCTTTTCCTCAATATTTACTTCTT